CCACTCTGTCCCTGCCTCCTCGGGCTTGTTTTGGCCTGGGATGGAGATGGGCAAAGACAAACGAGTGTTTGAGTGCCCTGCTGTGCACTGGGAGGTGAACGAAGTGCACCTGTCCCTGCCCAGTTCAGCAGGAATTTGTCCAGACCCCATGGAATGTGCGTGTCTGGATAATTAACAGTGCAGCTTTAATGATGGAAGGTCATCAGGAATGAAAGGCAAATTTTGGGAGCATGTGGCACACCTTGGAACAGCTGCCACCTTGAGCTGTCCTCCTGGGAAAAGTGGGATAGCCTGGAGGAGCAGGAATTGCTGCATTGAGTTAATTATATAAACATTTTGTCCTCTTGGCCTTCAGAAAATGTTTTGCTCTCTGTGGGTGTGTAAATATCCACTGAATTGCTTTTGTGGGGTGAGAGCCCTGAAATCTCCAGGCTGCTCATCTCCCTGGAAGCTGCAGCTCAAGGGTGGACAGCAATTCCTGGATTCACACAGGGGATGAGAGAACTCTGTTTTTAAAGACAGGATTCTCCATGCCAGGCTGTGTCTGTGGTGTTGGGAGCAGCCACTGCCACTGAGGGCAGCCAGGCCATGGCAGGGACACCCAGCTCCAAGTGCTGGGCACAGCCCATGGCATGGGAAACCCCAGGAGTGAAAAATGTGTAAAAAAAGAGAAAATTGTACCTTTTAAACTCTGCCCTCAGGACAGCACTGCTACCTGGGGTGGGAAATCCCAGGAATAAAAACCATGCAGGGATAAATGGTGCCCTGTAAAGGCTTTGCTCAGGAATAAAAAACCATGAGGGTGTAAACGGTGCCCTGTAAAGGCTCTCCTCAGGACATCACTCCTGCTTGGGGTGGGAAATCCCAGAAATAAATCCATGCATGAATAAATGGTGCCCTGTAAAGGCTCTCCTCAGTACACAACTGCTGCCCGGGTTGGGAAATCCTAGGATTTAAATCCATGGTGCCTTATAAAGGCTCTCCACAGGACAGCACTGCTGTGTGCCTTTGGAGAGCCCCAAAGTCTCCTTCTCTTGCAGGCAGGCTTGAGGCACAGGCTGAACAAGCTCTGGGTGGTCATGGATGTGGCAGCTCAGCCCCGGCTGGGGGTGGAGGAGGAGGCTCCATGTGAAGAATCCCCTCTTTTATCCAGAGGGGTGACCCTGAATAAAGATCCTGTGACCTGCAGTGAGCTCCTGCACCTCATCCCTGAGGGCCCACCCCAGGTGAGGACAAATATCCCCTTTATAGAGGCACCAAATCACCCCCAAGGCATCTCAGCTCCAAAACCCATCCCAGCCATGGGGGACACCACCTTTTTCTCCAGCAGAAGCACCTAGAAGCCCACACCGACCTTCTCCAGCCCTGGTGCTGCCCGGAGGAGGAGAAAGCCTGAATTCCACATTTGTAAACCTGAGTTCAAAGCTGTCTGAGCAGCTGAGGATAATCTTTGAGGAATTCATGGATTGGGCTTTTCTTTGCTGGTCCCAAGGGTCCTGTTTGGAAGAAAACCTCTCCCCAGGGACCTGATGGCCCTGCCCAGGCTGAGCTGAGCCATGGATGAGCCCAGCCTTTGTCTGTGCCTTCAAAGACTCATGCCACGCTGAGTCACAAATGTGCCCTGATTCCTGCTCAGCACGGATGGGATGATTTTCATTTATTTTCCTGTCACTAAGTGAATTCAGGGCAGGTGACATCCCTGCAGCTCTCTGGCTGTCTAGAGGCCAAAACAAGCCCGAGGAGGCAGGGACAGAGTGGACAGGTCCCCAAGGCCGCCTGCAGGCCAGCAGTGACTCAGTGTCACCCCCTGTGGGGACAGNTGTGTCCTGTCCCTCCATCCCTTGTCCCCAGTCCCTCTCCAGCTCTCCTGGAGCTTCTCTGAGCACTGAGAGGCCCCAACAGGGTCACCCTGCAGAGCAACCTTTGCAGAGTGTGGATTGTGCTCCCATAGCAGCTGTGGCTCCTGCCCTGCTCCTGGTGATTCCTTCTGGCACTCCCTGCTGCCTCTGGCATCACTGGCACCATTTATTTGGCTGAAGAATAATATTGGGAAATCTTGATTCAAAATCCAGAGGGGGATTTGGGGCAAATGATTCTTCCAAGAGGAGACCAAGCAAATGTGGGGATTCAGAGGTTCAGGAAAGGAGATTGCTGGGGGGTGGAAGTGAGAACATGACACTTGAAATCAACCTTACTGTTCTCCTTTCAGAGCTGCAGTATTTGGGATTATCCAGCTGCAGTTTTGCTGTGGATTGTGTTATTTTTCCTTGCATTCTTTAACAGCTAAATGTGAACACAGATGTGAGGCTGGCAGCTGTCAATGAAATCTTTATCAAACACAGCATAATCCTGGGGATTACAGATGTCCTGGATGGGCCACACAACATCCTACAAGTATCCTAGCTGGGAATTGCTCAGGGAATTGCTCAGGGAATTAGTGGAAATTGGTCAGGAGGAATAATAGGTCAGATCCCTCCTGGATAAATTCCTCCTGCTGGAGACATTTTTCAATTATATCAATTATTTGTATCAATTTATCACAACATCAATTATTATTGATGCTGTGATCCAGAGGATGGCATTCCTAGGATCTGCTTTGTCTCCTAAGGGATGGTATGAGGAACTGGGATGGTTTTATTTCTCCTGTAAGTGCGGATTGAGATATGCCCAAAGGTATTTGGAAATAATGAGTCTAAAGGATTAAAGTGGGATTCATTAGGGCAGACAATTATTCCTAAAAATGTGTTATAATTATGTGACACTGATGATTCTGCCTATAGGCAGAGGGACAGCAAAGGTCCTATGGCCAAAACAAAACAAAACAACAAAAACTCAAACAAAAACTGCTAAAAAACAAGAGGGAGAAAATCAAACAGTCCCCCAAAATTCTAACATGGAGAAAAAATCGCCATCCTTGGGCTCATTTGCTACTTTTCAGAGATGATTTTTCTGCACTAGACAGGGATTTAGGGGAATGAAGAGAGTTTTAAGGCTCCATGAAGGTGTTAAAAGAAGGTGAGAGAGACACAGAGAGAGGCTTGAAATACAAATGGAGAGGGAAGCCAGGCTGAAACAGGGAAGGGGACAGGGAACACTGCAGGAGGGCAAAGTCATTCAGGAGGAGGAGAAAACGCTGAAAAACCTGAATTCCACATTTGTAAACTTGAATTCCACGTTTGTAAACCTGATTTCCACATTTGCAAACCTGAATTCCACGTTTGCAAACCTGAATTCAACATTTATTCAGGACAGCATGGTCCATTAGAGGACTAATCCAGGGAGCCTTCACCTTGACTTACCTGTCCCAAAACTGCCTGAGAGCTGCAAATAACCCAGAGATTTACAATGGCTCTGTCTGCCCCAATGTCAGATCCATTTTAACCCTCTGGATTTTGCATTTTTCCTGCATCCCTGTGCTGCTGGCAGGTGCAGCAGATGCACAAGGACAGAGCTCTGGCTGCCTCAGAGCTGGCAGAACTCACATCCCCAACACGCTGCTCTTGGAAAATTCTACTCAAAAGTGTCCCATGACCAGCACTAAGAATGGGAAATTTTGTGAAAAATCAGTGGAGTGAATTCCTAGAAACAAAGGAGAGACAGCAGGAAGGGGTTTAGGGCAGCTGAGGGTGTGGGGTCACTGAGATGAGCGATGGGAAATGACCCTGGCTCGTCCCAGGCTGCAGGGGCTGAGGGAGGAGCACTGGCTGCTCTTTGCTTCTCCATGAGCTTGGGGTTTTGTCTTAGCCCAGACCCTCCTGCCTTCAAACCAGCCACTGGTTTAAAATGTGGAATTCAGGTTTTTCAGGGTTTCCTCCTCCTCATGGTGTAAGAGCCGAAATGAGGGATGTGGGACTCCAGGGGCTCTCCAAAATGCAGTTTATTCCATCCAAGGTGTTACAGCAGTCCAGGGTCATGTGTGACAGAGCTGTGCCCACAGCTGTCAGCTCCAGCTGCAGGCAGGCCTGGAGACCCTTTGGTTTTGGTTACAATGCATTCTATACTTTTCTTTGCTGAGCATCTTCATACAGTAGAACCAATCTATACCTTAACTATTACCTATAGCCCATCATAATTACTGTAATTACCATATTCATGTTACTGTTCTCCAATCACTAAAAGTCAGTACATTACAGTTTAAGCTAGAAGTTGTTTTTCAGTTTTCTTGCAGTGGAAAATTCTGAGACCTTTTTTCTACTTGCAGCATTGCTNCCAGCACAGGGAGGAGCTGGAGCTGCTGCAGAGATCCAGAGGAGGCTCCAGGGGGATCAGAGGATGGAGCAGCTCTGCTGGGAGGAGAGGCTGGGACAGCTGGGATTGTGCACCTGGAGAGGAGAAGCTTTGGGGGGACCTCAGGGTGGCCTTGCAGGGCCCAGACGGGTCAATAGGGAAGATGGAGAGAGACTGTCCAAAGGCCTGGAGTGCCAGGACAAGGGGGAATGGCTTCAAACTGAAAGAGAGTGGGTTTAGATTGGAGATAGGAAGGAATTGTTCCCTGTGAGGGTGGGCAGGCCCTGGCACAGGGTGCCCAGAGCAGCTGTGGCTGCCCCTGGATCCCTGGCAGTGCCCAAGGCCAGGCTGGACAGGGTTTGGAGCCCTCTGGCAGAGCCATGGATGGCTGGTCACTCACACCCCCCACACCCTCCAGCAGGGCCCCATGTTTGCTCTCAGTGTCCCCAGGGGAAGGAAGTTAGGGTGAAACCTTTCAGTGAAGCAGGATCTCAGCCACTTCCTTCGGCCTAAACTCTTCCTCTCTCTGCAGCACAGCTTGTGTAAGCTCTAGGTGGGTGCCAGATGGGCTGCCTGGAGATCACAGCTCTCCTGTGCCGCTCCTCAAATCTAGGACAGGCTGTCCTCACACTCTTTAGGCTCCTGACTTGAGTCTAGGATGCATCTGTGATCCTGCCCTGAGCTGACACTGGAAGAGCCTTGAGCAGAGCCACATTGCAGCCACGCTGCTGGAAGGCCTGGGGGTGCTCCAGGGTGGCCCTGCCACATTCCCAAGCAAAGGGATTGCTGGAAAACACTTGAATTCATTGTTCTAGTTGGTTTTTATGGTGATGGGGGTCTCCCAGAGGGCAGTGAGCCTCAGCACCACTGAGCAGCCTGAGCCCATTGTCCCTCCATGTGGTGGTGAAGCAGCTGGCCAAAGGCCTACAGACCAAATCCTGACTCGAGCCAAGAGAAACCATCAGAAAGCCAAAACTGGTTTTTGAGAAAGCCAAAACTGGTTTTTGAGAAATCCAAAACTGGTTTTTCTACAGCTCCAGGGCCTTCCAGATGGCCATGGCCATGGTAAGGGCACCACAGGCTGCCCAGCTGGGCACTGGGTTCTTGTGCCCAGGGAGGGAGCAGGGCACAAATCCTGGTTCCAACACATTCTTGGTGGATTCTCTTGGCAATTCCAGTTCACAAAACAACTTGTTTTCCCTGAGAAAGAGCTCTAAGACTGTGGAAAAGAAGTTGTTTGAGTCAGGATTTGGTTTGTAGGCCTTTGGCCTGCTGTTTGACCTCCACACTTGCAGTCAGGTGTTGTTGAGGCAGAACATGGTTGTGCTGCATATCAGAGCAACCATTATCTCCTCTTATCTCTGGCTGCTCACTCCTGGGATGTTTTTTGGGGTTTCCCCCCTTTCTGCAGTCTGTTTCCTTCCTGAGGGGGTCTCAGGCTGCCTGCAGAGGGGATTCTGGATCAGTTTAAGTGACACCAGGGTGGTTTGTGTTCTCAGCCTCCCCTTTGCCAGGTGCTGCCTGGCTGTGGGATAAACCCCCCCAGTGCTGTGCTCATGGTTTTTTTGGGTTCTTGCAGAACCCACCAGTGCTGTGCTCATGCCTCTTTTTGGCTCTTGCAGAACCCTCCCAAGGCCAGGTGCTTCTGGTGCTCAGCATGGACAACACCTGCCCCAGCTCCTCCTTTGACATGGACCTTTGTGCTGACAAACTGCAGTCCCTTGGGATCCAGGTGAGCTCCCCTGGGAGTTAATTCCAGCTGGATTTGCATAATTTGCATTTACACCCATGGCCCAGATGGCTTTGGGGTTTTTTTTTGGTTTGAGATTTGCTTGTTTCAGCCCAACTTCAGTCTATTCCCCGTAGGCTGGAAGTCAACTGGGATGAACTTGGCTTAAATCTCTGTGAAGAAACTCTTTGAAGATAGTTTGAAGTGAATTTTGCTTAAAATTCACTCTCATAGGGCAGAGCATCCCTGGAACATCTGCCTTGTCTTGTCCTTCATCACAAAAAGGCATTTTCTTCCCTTGTGACTGTCCCTGCCCTCCCCAGGAAGGTTTTACTCACTGCAGCTGAGGCAGGAACACAATTTTGGGTCTGTGGCAGCTCTGTGGGTGGGATTGGAGATGCTCCCTGTGGGAGGCAGCTCTGGGACACACATTTGGGTTGCAGAGCCCCACGAGGAGTTGTAGTGAAATGTGAGAAAGATTTTGTAGAAAATTTACACATAAAATTTATACATGCTATATAAAGCTTCTATCAAACTTTAAAAATTTTCCATAAATTCATTTCTCACAGTGAAACAGCAGGCCAAAGGCCTACAAACCAAATCCTGACTTGAGCCAACAAACCATGAGAAAGCTGACAGCTCTTGGTGAGAACAGAGTCCTGCAGCAGTGAAAAACAACTTGTTTTACCTGAGAAAGAGCTCTAGAGCCTCTAGAGCTGTGATAAACATGAGCCACTTGTATAAACTGTTTTTACACTGTTAGATAGAAAAATGAAAACTATCTCTCACAAACAACTTTTCCTGCACNTGTCAGGACTCTGGTCAGTCACAGGTTTTTATTATCCATTCTTTTCTAGCCTTCTGATGTCTCCTTTCTATTTATTTAGTATAGTTGTAGTATACATTTTCTTTTAATATAATATCATAAAATAATAAATCAGCTTTCTGAGAACGTGGAGTCAGATTCTCATCTCTCACCTCATCCTGGGAGCCTCACAAACTCAACAAGGAATGACACACAGGTCACCCTGTTCTTCTAAGTCTTCTGATGGTTACATTTTTGTAATGGAGTTTCTCACACACTTTTATGTAAATAATGATTGTTTTTGTATTCTTTTCTAGAAAAGGAGATATTTGATAGACTGTTACTTTAACCAGCAGTGTTAGAGATGTAACAATTTCATCCTCCAATCCAGGGTCACTTTTGAAATTCTATATATATCAAAGTCAATAAATAAACTTTGTTCTTTTTACCTTAGAAGTTTCAGCATGCATGGCCTTCATTTCATGTCCTGTTACAACAGAGACAGACTCCAGGTCAGAAGGCTGAGAGGACAGAAGCCCTGATTTTATTGGAACCTCTTCTTTTATACCCTGGTTGGATACAGGGGGACCTGATTGGTCATTTAATCAACACATTTCATATGATTGGCTAATTAAGAAGATGCCTTTTGGTAAAACATCTTAGGAGGAAAACAACTTGTTGAAAATAACACCTGCAGATGGTTTGCTATTTGTTTACCTTTCTTTTTCTCTCTGCCTCACTAAAACTTCCCAGACCAATTCATAGGAAAGCTTATCTGGCTTTCCCTCTCTCTGACCAGACTGTTGTCTCCACAGTGCTCCACACAGCTGGGCCAGGTGACCAGAGGGGCTGGAAAACCCCAAAACAGAGCTGTCCCCACACTCCAGCGCGGAGGAGCTGTTGGACAGCGAAGGGAGCTGTAACTCCTTGTCCTGGATGAACGAGTGGAAATAGGACTCTCATAAAAGATGCAGGAAAGCTGCTCACCTTGGAGAGCTCCTGCCTACCAGCTCGGTGAGGAGGAGGTGCCCCAGGGGTCAGAAACAACGCAGGGATGGCCTGGAACTCAT